ATACCCTGCAGACCACTGGATATGTGGTTTGAACCAGGGCCATGTCTGTCTGTCTACCTGTCTATTTACTTATCAGATAACCTGCTAAAAGTGACACTCTAGAGAGAAGAGAAGACATTTCAGTGTAAGCCTTATATTTGGTGGGTTGGGTGGAGGACAGGATAGAGAGAATCTCAAAATAAGAAGATTAGCCTTGGACAGTAGTAGTTTGGTTGTCACTGGAGATTTGGGGAAACCATAAAGTTTTTCCTGCTCTGGTAGCGTATTAGAAGAATTGTTATACAACAGTCATACAACTCCTTCAACAAAATATTACTGAAAAAGACACAAATTACATGGCTCATTTTGTTTACATAGGTAGATGCATTATTTTAAAGGGAAAAAAACCTCCCCACTAGTCAGCCAAATTCAAGAACAGCTCTTCTTTAAAGCATTATTTAAATAATTACAGTCCTGAGGAGATATCTATTACATGATTGGAACCGTACTAAGTAGTTCTTTAAGCTTTGGTCTCTGTGCTATTACTATGTAAATCCAATGGCAACCATTTTAAATGGAACTAGTATAAAACTCTGCCAAATAAGGAAAAGCTAAGGATAACTATGGCACAAATTAAATCCTTTACTTTAGGAAGCCTGAATTCCAGGCAAAGAGAAAGAAAGATGGGCTGATGAGAAAGGAGGGAGGAAGAGAAACAACTGGCAAAAGAAGCAGAAAGTAAAACACATAGTAAAAGATTTTATAAGTAGAAGCCATGAGAAAGTAAAAACAACAAAGATCTGAGTAAGCAGAAACTAGTAATCCTAGAAAAAAGTTAGTCATAGAAACTAGACATAGAGAATAGCCAAACCAAAATAATGGTAATTTACTAGAACAGAGAGACAAAGATGTTTTCTGTTGAGGCTGCAACATGATAGTTTAGTTGCAAAATTGTGTGCTACTTTGTACACAAATTTGTACACAAACAAAGTGAACAACCACTTGAGTTTTCTTCCAGTCTTTCAGAACCCTCACTGTAGAGCTCAGATATCTTTCTTATTAACATGAATAGCTTTATAATAATTCCTTCTTATAATTATCACATACAGCTTATAACAACCCTTTATTACTTAAGTCTGCCTAAATGTGTCTTTGGTTTCTTTTGCATAGCAGATAGATGATCAGGTGGAAAAGAGGAAGGGAAAAAGGAAGCAGCAAGCGTTTAACCACCACCAATAAAGCAAGCAGGGTTCCTGAAGGGGATGTGTGTGTATGTAAAACCCACTGAAGACACATGCTCACTTTGTATACATTATGTATATACGTGTTTGTGTGTATAAAGTCAGCAGATGAAATAAATAGGAAGAACTGGAGATAACAAATGAGCACAAATATGAAATAACTACATATATTTACTATATTTAAAATAAATTAAAATTTAAAATAACTGATAGAGACTACAATGAAAGAATAGGAACAACAGTATTCTTAAAAAATAGAACTTGTAGGAATAACTACTTCCTACTTTAAAAATTCAACAAATAGGTTAAACAGCAGATTAGCTGTCTCTTTAAGGCAGCCTTAGTAAGCCAGAAAAGGATTTTACCGAGACTAATACGGAGAGACAAAGACACAGGAAATATGAGAGACATGGTGAGTAATAACTGCTGCTCAGGTGCTAAGAAAGTAGAGGAAATAAATATGGAAAGAAATAATGTCTGATATTTCAAGAAATGGAGAAATAGTAAAGAAGTTCATTCTGTTTCATTAATGACCAATAAAAACAAAATCACAACTGAGCACATCATAATTAAACATCAGTGATAGGAAAATCTTTAAAGGTAGCCAGAGAAAGAACAAAACTAACCATAAAATAATGACAATTAGACTATTCATCAACTGTAATAAATGTCAAGAGACAATGAAATATTACCCTCAAAGTACTGAGTGAAAATAATCATAAACCTGTTGACTCTATACTCAACTAATTATCATTCAAAAGCAAGGGCAAAATAAAGATATATTTAGACAAGGCATGAGAATGTATCACTCATAGATCTTCACTGAAAATATAAAAATATGTACTTGGGTAAGAATAAAACTGACAGAAAGGAGGGGAAATCATATGCTAAGGAAAAAAAAGTAAACATTTTGATATATACAAATAAACACTAACTATGAAGACCACCATCTAAATAGGGGAAATATTTTTTTTTTTAATTCTTAGAAGATGAAAACTTTGTCTTAATCCTTTTTGTAACTTCATTATGCCTACCACAAAGTTGGCTCACAATAAATACTTGTTGATTAAATGAATATGTAATGTATATATGAAACATGTCTCATTTCAATGGTAGGTCAAAGCCCATGCTTTATTAATGAGGAAACTGAAAATACAGAAGACTGACCCAGTACTGTATGACATACTGAACCTGATTTACCCTTTAGAGAAGAGGAAAGAAATTACAGTGTCAAGAAAATTATGACAGTTTCTCTTATATAGGTCTGACTCTACCTAACAATAAAAAATGCCTATTGCTGAAAACACCAGTTGGTTGGAGGACTATTAGCTGTCTCTGGTCTCATCCACTTTCTAAATATCACAAGAACTACAAAGAACTGGACATTGCTTTATTCATTTGAGAAATAGTAATTAAACATCTATTATAAGCCAAACGCTATATCAGATCTTGCGGATATAACAATGAAAAATATATATCTAATTCTTACTCTCAAAGAATTAGTAGTACAGTTGATAAGAAAGTCATTAATGCGTTACAAGAATGTAGGAAGTCAGCAAGTATTTCCTATTGCTTACTGTGTGCTATATGCAAATATAAAGGGAAATATATGTTCTCTGATTTATAATATGGTTGAAGAGATTCCAAGTAATTAAAAATATGTTTAGCAATATATAGTCACATTAAGACTAAATGGGTAAATAAATTACATGTTTGGGAAATGGAAAAACTGCTATACCCTTGGCCAAAATAAAAAGATGTGGAAAGACACAAAAAAGTTACATATATAAAAGATATAAGAAATTAATATAGATTACTTTTATTTTTAAATTCCTAGGGTTTTTTTTTTCCTGATATTCCAAAATTTTTCAACTTTGGCACAAAACAAAAGATAGAAGAAAAAAGAATTTGGAAGTATTTTTGTTAGTTTTCACTTATGATTAAAGCCTGGACATCAAAACTATTCTTTCATTCACTATTTCCACCCCCAGCCCCAGAAATATAATCTTTGATCTTTATCAACCTATTAACATTTGGGGTTCTCTTTCTTTGACATTCTTCTGGGATGATTTAAACATTTAAACTTTGAAAATGAAAGCAGATGCTTGTCTTCAAAAAAATTTAACGGCTGATGTCTGAAACCTCCTTTTAGGAAAAGCACTGCAGACTGTTGATCCTCTCAATACTTTAATAGTGAAGTAAAGACATGTTACTATACCTCCCTTTTAGACAAGATCTGATACATGTCAATCTCAAAAACAAGATGGCGTACAATTAATATAGAAGACTGCCTGATCTTAATTCTTAAATTGAAAGCTCTTGCAAATATCTAGTACCAAATTGTTAAGAGTTCTGAGTAACTAGTTATAGGAACAAATAATCTTTCTTCTTCTTTTTTAACCAATAAAGATAAGGACAAGATGGCCCAGCTATTTATACACATCTTTTCAAAATTAATACCAATGTGAACACTGCTACGTGCAGAACATACAATGCCAGCAGATCACTTTAATTTTCACAAGTACATGGAGCAATGAAGTAAAGGGATGCATTTCCCTTCTCTGGCTCCATAGAAGGAGTCTGAAATTCAGCTATAATCAGTAACACTTAGAGAACCTGATTATGCCGAACTATTGTTCTAAACACCTGACCCAACTCAAGGTCACAATTAGGGAGTAAATAGCAAGATAATGGGAAAGAATTCCAGGGATTTAGAATTCTAGTCCTGGAATTGGACCCTGAATTGCCTGTCTTCTACTCTCCTCAGCCCTATGATATCTTACCTGCTTCTTCATTTATTTATTCATTTGTTTTTTCACTTCTGCAGTTAATGCTTATCTACTGGGTAGAAGGGACTTTTCTATAAATAGCCATCACTTCTCCTAAAAGACTCAACCAAAGGTCTCCTTTCTGTAACTTCTACCTAATCCCTCCCCACAATAACTCAAACTCTCCTGCCACATCAAAATCAACTTCTCCCTTTTTAGGTTCTCCTACCTTTTTTGTTCATGACTCTATTATATGCAGCATTTATCACAGGGTAACAGAGTGAGCTGCTTTTATGACTGTCTCCCATATGAGTATGTGAGATCCTAGATGATTGAGTTGTCAGCATTCTCTATCAACAGTTCACACTGTACCTTAATCATAAGAAAAGGATCTAAGGTAGTGTCCTAAGTAAGGGCACAGGGTCTAGAGTAAGATTACTAGCTTCTAATTCCAGCTCCACTTGACAAGAGACAAGTTACTTAAGATTCTTTGTGCTTCAGTTTACCTATGTGTAAAATAGGAGTAAAAACAGTACTGACCTTACCGATTTTTTTTTTTTAAGATTTTATTTATTTATTTGACAGAGAGAGACACAGTGAAAGAGGAACACAAGCAGGGGGAGTGGGAGCTGGAGAAGCAGGTTTCTCACTGAGGAGGGAGCTGGATGTGGGGCTCGATCCCAGGACCCTGGGATCATGACCTGAGCCGAAGGCAGACGCTTTAATTACTGAGTCACCCAGGTGCCCAGGACCTTACGGATTATTGGTGAGGTTTGAGTTAATACATAAAAATAATTTAGGATAGTGCCTCGTATTTGCTCAGTATAAGCGTTAGCTGGCATTTATTGTTATCATCATTATCATCATCATCATTAAATAAGGGCTGGATCACAGTCACTTGGGATTAGAGCAATCCTTGCTCCCCACTTGATACTTCAAACTGAGAATTGCCAGAATTTTTTTAGAAGGAAGAGATTTTCAGGTTTTTCTTTTTTTTTTTTTTTTTTTTCCCCACATTTCATTCTTTTCTGAGTTGGGCTTCTTGTACAGAATGTCTCTTGGAAACATTACTTATTAAAATAAGAAATAAGTTTACTTACAAAATGTCATTTGATAATTTAGTTGGCATGAAGTTACCATACTAATGTACACAGTATATAACAGATTGGACTCAAGAGATTTAAACGACAGAATAAGTGCATTATCATAGGCAGTGACAATGACAACTATGACTCACTGGCAAGCCATCCAAATTTAACTATAGGTTTGACCATACCATTTTCCACCAGAGTGACAACTGAACTCTCTGACAACTTCATTTATTTCTTAATCATGGCAATATTAGTATTCAGAGTGCTTTTTGGGGAAGATGGAGGAAGCAACATGTAGGTTATTAAAACAATAAAGGGATGGCAAGCTAATCTCACTAACTTCATCAGGAAACAGTTCCACTAAAATTTGATGGCAATGACTATTTCTTAATGAATGCTGCACTTTATTTATTTTGTACTTTGTTTCTCTCCAGATTAACAAAAAATTTGCTGGAAAAGGATGATTTCAGATACAAACTGAGGCATAAGCTATTATTGGTTACTGTGGAAAGATAAACCTTATATGTACCAAGGCAACAAAAGAAAGATTTTTCTTTCTTTTCTAAAAGTCGCATAATCCCTAAGGGAAGAGCAGCTTGGGATGAAGCAATTAGCTTATCACAGATCACACTGTTTGGCTGTGGACAGGTAATCGTTGGTATAAGACCACAGTCATGGTTCTGATGAATGTACCTGCTTGCTCCCTGGATTACCCCAGGTCTGGATGGAGAGAAGAAGAAAAAGCTTACAGTTGGATTTGCACTTTAAAATTCACAGAGAATTTTCTTATATACCTCTCACTTATTGGTCATAGCAAGAATTAGTTATTCTTCTTTTCCAGGAAATAAGGATCAGAGAAGACAAATGACTTATTCAAGCTCACAGAACAAATAAATAGCAGAACCAAAGAACTTGAGAATGTTTGATCCTTGTCCTGGAGAATCTCAACTTATTCCTCAAGTTGTTTTAATTTATATTGAATACTTTGATGCTTGGGTCTCCCCCCTCTTCAGTGTTAAGGGCAGAGTACAATTGATTCTCAGTAATACCTAACAACTTATAATTTTTCCCCCTGAATTTTCATTTTTACTTTGGCTGGGAATGTACACATCTTTTTATTGATTTATTTGTTCAACAAGCATTCATTAAGCTCTGGCCATGTACCCAGTTCATGAGTCAGAATAAAGGTTACATAAAAGTTTCAGTCAGGGAATAATAAGTCTATATATTTAATCAACAAGAACCAAACATAGCTAAGAAACTTTCCCCCCACCCCATTCACATTAAAACATTGATATTGTAAGCCTTCTGTCACTTCTTGATTATCAGTGCATTGATTATCTATTTTGGGAATTTGAATCTAAATCCCAATGATCTGAAAAGTGATAAGCATACTTTGATTTTGGCATGAGCTGAAAACTGTGAGTGAATTTCAATATTAATTTAAGGAAAACATAGTAGGGTTATGAAAAAAGTAACAAATGATCACTATAATAAATATATATTTTTTTAAAGATTTTATTTATTTGTCAGAGAGAGAGAGCACAAGCAGGCAGAGTGGCAGGCAGAGGCAGAGAGAGAAGCAGGCTCCCCGCTGAGCAAGGAGCCCAATGTGGGACTTAATCCCAGGACTCTGGAATCATGACCTGAGCCAAAGGCAGCAGGTTAACCAACTAACCCACCCAGGCATCCCTCATAAATATTATCTACTTCCATTTCAAGATGAGAAAGAGAAGGCCTAGAACTATTTGAGTTTACATAGAAAGTAACCTGCAGAACCAGGACTTGAAGTAAAATCTCTTCATTAAACTAAATTTAAGTTAATAATTAAGTTTCCCTTGATGTATCCAGAGGATGGGAAGAGCAATGGAATATGTAATAAAATATGGGCAGCCTCTTGAGAAAATATTCAGAGGCAAGTCTAGAACCAATGCCATTTTTAAGACTACAACATTCAAATATACATTAATTCTAGACCACAGCCATTTTTTTTTTTTTACAAAATTACTTAAATCTTCTTTTTCCTGGAGAGCTTGAGAGATTTTAATATGTGTCATTTCCCATTATTAAAAACTCTTAATTAATAAAATATTTCATTAGTTTACTTTTTCTTCACAGCATCTCTAAAGATTAAGAGAAGAAAAATACCATTTCAGCCTAAAGATGAATATATTAAGGTACTGGGAAGGAATGTGCTTTTTCTAATTTACTTGAATACGTCAGTGTTAGTGTTATTAGAGCATTTGGTATGACCTCTAAGGCTGAACACCAATTTTTTAGTTATAGTGATGTTATTTCACTGAATACCAACTTTATAAAAGCAGAGCCTTCCTGATCGATGTAATTTTGTTTATTTTATATATTAACCTTAAAAAATTATTTACCAAATGCTTTCCAAGAGCCAAAATCATGCTAAGTGCTGGGAGCACAGTCATGACAGTGTCCTCACAGTGCTTATCATCTGGAGCAGGACTGTCCAATAAAAATATAATGTGATCCACATATATTACTTAAAATTTTCTACATCCTCCTTAAATAAGTAAAAAGAAAAGGGTATAGTTCATTTTAATACTGTATGAAACCCAATAATTTCTAAAATATGATCATTTCAACACAGAATGAACATATAAATTTCTGAGATACACTAAATTCTTTTTTCAAATTAAGGTGTGTATTTTACATATATATAAAACAATTCAATTAGGAGCAGCCACATTTCAAGAGTTCCATAGACACATGTGGCCACTGGCAACTGTACTAAATAGTATAGGTCTAGGGGAGAAGTTAAATATGAAGCAAATAATAGAAGTGAAAGTGCTATGACAGGGAAATGCAGTGCTATAGGAGCATGGAGAAGAGCATCTCAACTAATCTGTGTAGAGCTAGAAAAAACTTTCTGGAGGAAGTAACACTTCAACTATGCTCCAAAGGATGAGCTGGCATTAGCTACAGGAAAGGATAGGGGTTGAGCACTTTGGTGTTAATGTTAATAATACACAGGGCCTGTAAGTGAGAGTGACTATGGTGTGCTGGAAAGACGAGACTACAGAACTTTACTACAGTTAGAGCAGAGATTATTATGGAGAGCAAGAAAGATGAAAATGAAAAGAGAGGTACGAGCTTGTCCATGAAAAGCTTACAAACTATGTAAAGGAATTCAGATTTTATTCTAAGGAATTCATCCTTTCTAAAGACTTTAGGTCTCTCTATATATGGAACTAGCAGTTTCAGACTGAAATGTGCTCCTCTTCATGGAAATACAAGGGGCAGTAAGACAGATGGAGATGACAAGGCTAAAGCAAGATGGTCATTTATTAGTTTGGTTCCACATTAAATTAGTCCCCTCGGGTCATTTTCAAGTTTTAGATTTCATAAATCTAACTTTTTAGTTATAACCATATTAGAACATAAACTAGGCTTAACAAAATGTGATTTGTTATTTATGAATTATTTTTGGAGGGAACACTAGCATGTATTAGATATTAATATTAAAATTTCTGACTATATTTAGTTCTAAATAGTGTGTATGAATAGTGAAGTCCCACAGGTTGTTTAGGAGTTATAAATTACTAATTTGGTAATTCACCAAGTAATTCATGGTGATTGTAAGGGTCCTGTTCCAATCTGCAGCCTCAAGCCTGTCTTATGGTACTCATATGATATGGCAGAATACTGGAACTGTAGTTACTTGTACTAGCAAAAGGCACCACTAAAAGGTACTAAAGGCTTTAGGTTTTATAAATTACAACTTAATCACTTGAATTATTATGTAATTCTACTAAGTATACTGTGATTATAGGTGTAGTGGTCTCCCTCGTCCTAATGGATTACTAGCTTTTTGAAAGTAAAGTAAGTGATTTAGTATTTCCATCAATATAGCATTTTACTATGTATCAGGAACTGTGGGATATTTCTCAGAGTGCTTGATAATCTTGAATATACTTAGTATGATTTTATTAGAACCAGAAAAGATGTCCAAATATAGTCACAGCATACTACAGCCTGCCAAAATACATGTTTGTTAAATACAGATACTGCGTAGGAACTGTACCAGATTGAATAGTGTCCCCCAAAGTTTGTGTTTACTAGGAACCATGAACATAACTTTATTTGGAAATAGGGTCTTTGCAGATATCATCAAGTTGAGGAAATTCTATTAGGTTGGGCCCTAAATCTAGTATGACTGATGTCTTAATAATAACAGGAAAATCTGGACACAAAACCAGGTACCGGGAGAATCCCATGTGATAGTGGAGGCAGAGACTTAGCAATACCATATACAAGCCAAGGAACATCAAGGATTGCTGTTAGCTGCCATACACTAGGAATAGTCAAGCAGGCATTTTTCTCTAGAGCCCTGCTGATACCTTGACTTTGGACTTCTAGCTTCCAGAACTGTGAGAGAGTAAATTTCTCTTCTTTTAAGCCAACAAATGTGTGGTACTTTGTTACTGCAGCACTAGGAAACTAATATAGGAAACTAATACTGGGCCCTCTACTGCTTTCTACATGCCCTCTGTGAGTCGCTCTCTTAAGAGACTTCTATTTAAGGGACTTGACAAATTAATCCCTTTCTCTGTTCAACTGTCCAGGGTAGTATTTTACTCTGAGCATTCCTATATAGTCCTGCTCCCACCAAAAGAGCTATATATACACTTATAGCCCAGCCCAGAGCACTTACTTTTGCCATCAATTAATTTCATCAAATATTACACAAACAGGTGAAATATGAATGTAAAACGAAAGACATCTGCTCTTCCCATGAAAACTAATGTAGACACTTTGGAGACTCTGATAAAGGTGAATCATGTAAAAAAATTCAATCAAATTAGATGTACCTGAGGTAATTATGAAAGATTGAAAAATTATGAAAATCTAGAAAATATGTTCAGATTGATTTGTAAGTCTCTTTAAACTATAACTTCATTGTAATAAAAATAAAATCAGAGCTTATAGAAGGCATGCCATGGGGTGTGGTTTATGTAAGAATGGACTTTGTAGAACTGCAATTAAGACTCAAACATCTCGGGGAACCTGGGTGGCTCAGTGGGTTAAAGCCTCTGCCTTCAGCTCACGTCATGGTCTCAGGGTCCTGGGATCGAGCCCCACATGGGGCTCTCTGCTCAGCGGGGAGCCTGCGTCCTCCCTCTCTCTCTGCCTGCCTCTCTGCCTACTTGTGATCGCTCTCTCTCTCTCTCTGTTAAATAAATAAATAAAATATTAAAAAAAAAAGACTCAAACATCTCCATATATATATAAATAGGTATAGGTTCTATAATTCTCCACATGTACCAACTTTTTTATTACTCACAAAATCAAAACTTTGGACTACAGTAAATAAGAGGGTTTCCAGTATAAGTAGAAGAACTATGTTTACTATACTATGTTTTTATTCAGTCACTTACCAGTCAGTAAACTTTATGAACAGAAGCTCTGATCGGCTCTCCATTCTACTGCTAGTACTCAGTATAATGCCTGGTATATAGCAGCCTCTCCCAAAATAGTTTTTGAATAAAGGAGTGCAAGATGCAAACCCATTTTATTTCTGGTTTTTCCCTTTTCCACAGAATTATATCATAAATAAATTTGTATTGTTATGGGCTGATCTGAGCCATAAAAATGGACTTATTATGGGGAACTCAATCTTTTAATGGCATTTATTAAAGTCTACACATATATGAGTATTCTCATTTTTATGATATCATTTCTCATAGCCTTAATAAGTTTTTCACATCATACTCTTTCTGAAAATACTTAAACTGTTTCTATTTACGTCTTGATTTAATTTCTGTGTAATTCCACAGTGTCATTACCCCAAGTTTGCAGATTAGGACCCTGAGACAAAGAAGTTAACTTAATATCTTAAAGGTAAATTCCCAGTTATGCCTCAAATTCATGAGCTTCCAAATTCTAGATTAGTACTGGCTTTGCCATTAATTAGACTGTCTACCTTGGAGGAAACTACGGCCCTCAATGAGGCTGTTTCTTCAGTTATCAGATGAGGTTTTTTGACTGGAAGATCTCTAAGATGCCCTCAGCCCTAAGTCCTCATTTTCAGCAGCAGAAAATTCTGGATTTTCTCATATATAAACATATGGGAGACAGAGAACAACATATACAGCTAAAGAGTGACAGAAAGGCTAAAGTAAGGTAGTAATGGTTAGTGAGTACACTAACTAACTAAGGGATACAAGACAGAGGGTAAATTAATGCAGTCTGCTAGCCCAAACTCTTTTTGGGAAAAAATACCATGGAATATTTTATGATCATAAAAGCCACAAGAATTTTGCTCTTACTTGACAACAGGAATCTCAGTGTTAAGTTGGAAGGGTCCTGAGGTATGTATAAAGCTTAAAAAATTTAAATACTTGGTCAACTCTTTATATTTTATTATCCTAACTAAGTAAAATATAGGGTTATCAAATTATATCATAAAGCAATTGCTATACGATCTCTAAATCTTGATCTGAATAAATTTATAATCAAGTTTTATTCCTTAAACTATAGATAATATTAAGACAGAGGCAACCAATATTAGGTTCTTTTTAGAAGCTACACAATTATTCATTTTCTCTACCTCTTTAGCTACTTAAGTGACTTAACAGAAGCCATTGAAAAGAAATCCTAATACATTTGGTAAATAAAAATGATGTAGGGTTTCAGATGGCCCAACAAGATGAAGAATTTAGCACTGGAATTCTGTTAAATAACTGCAGGAGTTGTATTTTTGCCTTGGAAAACTTTCATCATGGAACACAGCTGTGAAACAACTTTGGCTTCAAACAGAAAGGCTATAATAAAGCGCCTCCTAGCTAGACTTAAGTTCAAGAGGTTTATGGTGGCAAACAGCAGAAAAGATGAAATGTTTCAATAAGACCCTCAGGCTGATTTAGTTAGCATTCACAAAATGGAATAACCTATACATCACATACCCTTTGTTAGCTGGTTGTTTAGAATAGATGTATGAGTCACTGGATTTTATTTTAGCAGTTGGGCAATGCAATTCTCCTTTTGCCCAAAATATTAAAATGCAGAAATGTGAAACTAAGAGAGGTAATGTCAGATCTTATATAGAATGCTTATCAACCACTGTGATGGATCAAGAAATTCTTCTGCACTTGTCATTCCATGTTTCACCTTGGTAGGCACAAATGATAAATTACCTCTCATAAAAAAGCAATCTATTGCTCAACTAATCAGCAACTACAGTATATTTTCTTAAATTGTGTGGAGGAGAGGTGTTGGAGGGGGGAAGCTTGCAAAACCAAAAGAAAGCTGGTATGGAAAAAAGGATACGCAATATTCAATCCTGCATGATTTTTAAGTACAAATGAATCCCTCTGGGAGTTTGGGGGATTAATATATATATTTTTTCTTTCTTTTTTTTTTTTTTTTCTCTCAGACACTGTTCAGAATTAATGAGGGTACCTGCAACGATGCTGGCAAGCTGCTGGGTTCTGGAGATGGGGTAGAGGCTGCGTGCCTGAACGATTGCTGAAGCGATTTTCTTGGCATGCTTCTCCTCCCCGTATGTTCTCAGGATGGATGCAAGTGCCTGTTGATCTAAAGCATTCACAACATCAGCTGCGGTGGGCATGTCAGGGTACCTACGCACAAGAAGAGCCAATTAGTTTGCTGACGTCAGTTTTCATTGACAAGAGGTGAAACTTCAGAGTATTGAAGTCAGACAAACACACACAGTCTAAGGGAGCATCTGAGGTTTTTAAAGTCAGAGACTGAAATCTTCAACAAATGAAACAGATTTTCCATTTCAAATACCCATCATAACAGCAATAGTGGATTGAGTGTGACATTCATCAAGTCAAGGGCAGCAGGAAATTAAAATATTTTACTAACCTTTAATTCACAAAGAAGTTATTATTACTAATGCAGATTTCCCCTAAACTAAAGTAAATGTTTGGATTTAGTTTGTTCAAAATTTAAATTACTGTCTGATACAGATACAAGACACTGACTGATATTTAAATGAGCCTACACCTCAGGAACTTAACTAATTCTAAGATTATAAATAACTAAGTACTTATATGGGAGCACAAATTGAACTTAAAAAGTCTATGCAAGGGGCACCTGGGTGGCTCAGTGGGTTAAAGCCTCTGCCTTTGGCTCAGGTCATGATCCCATGATCAAATAAATAAATAAAATCTTTAAAAAAAAAAAAGTCTATGCAAGAAGATACTCCCAGTCAATTTCCCTCACCTTCTATAATCTGAGAGCTGTTGGGGAAATTGGGATAGCAGAGACTAAACTATGCTATAAGATTCCAGTGATAAATGGCAACAGGTTAAGAAAGCCTCTTGCATCTACCTTCATTGCAGAGATATATCAGCCTCCAGGATCTGACTGGCCTTATTTTTTGGCTTGGACTCCCTTATCCCATAACACCACTGGAAAAGTATTGCACATATTTGCAATGACTGACTCTCCTTTTCTATGAATTCATGTGAATCTACTCCCCCTTTCTGAATGCCATATACTTTCTTCAGATCTGTTCATATCTTTGATTAGGTTATACAGTCTATGCTATGTACCTGGAAGCCATCCTGCTTTTTAAGATATACTTGCTCAACTCTAATCTCATCCATTATGTATTGACTTAGAGTTTAATGCTCAAGGGCAATTTTATTTTCAGGTTCTTAGGGGGGAAACCTCAAGAACCCTGATTCACAGACTACAATTTGCTAAGAAGTCTTCATATTAACAATATAGGGATTTACAACCATTAACTAGAAGCTATGTTCATCGTATTTCAGAAGGCATTCTCCTTTAACAAGACATAGGAACAGCAGAAATTTGCTTGACATTTTATTACCTCTGCACAACAACCTCAATCTCCAAACATGAAAGGATATTTGACCTTTACTATTAGTCACCGCTTTTTAAAGGATTTTCATTATTTTCTTTTATGATCACATTCTTCATTCTATGAATGCCAACTTGTGCAAAAGAAGGTGTAAGACTCAGAACAAAAAGGTTCCAACAAGTATGGGTCACAATCCAAGTTACCAGGTCATATCAAAACATGGGGAAAGGCTATATGTGAATAATTACCATCGAACAAAGCATTTTATGGGAAAGAAGTCAAAGTCAACTCATTATTAATTTTCTGACTTAAGCAGGACATTAAATTTCTTTTTCTTTTTTTAAGATTTTATTTATTTATTTGACAGAGATCACAAGTAGGCAGAGAAGCAGGGAGAGAGAGAGAGAGGAGGAAGCAGGCTCTCCACTGAGCAGAGAGCCTGATGTGGGGCTTGATCCCAGGACCCTGGGATCATGACCTGAGCCGAAGGCAGAGGCTTAACCCACCAAGCCACCCAGATGCCCCAGGACATTAAATTTCTTATGTGCAGGTCCTTCCAATAGATTGGAAGACATTTTGGAAAACCTAAATTTGTCTCAGTAGAAATGCTTATGCAAGTCTAGAACTGCAGATTAGTGATAGTAACAGAATGGTTTGCTTATTTAGACATAAGAAAATCTAACATTCCTCTTAGAAGGTAAGCTTCCCAAAGGTAGGAACCATGATACATAATTTGGCGGTCAGGGTGGGGCATGAAATGAGGAAGAAAAACATGGTTAAGCTTTGTACATACAGACTATTCTGTCCCTAAGCCAGTGTTAGGCATAGAGACAAGGGATAATCTAAACTTTAAAAAATTAATTTAGGTTTAAAATGACTCATCCTACACTTTACTAGAATGTGACCCTCTTTGTGTTATATGTACCTATTAGAATAATGGAGAACAAACCAGTATTTCCAGGGTGGTGAGGAATGAAGAGGAGGTGTAAAGCTGTCCTGTACATAGCATTATGTTGGTACGGTACCATAAACTGTAATTTCTCTGGGGAATGTTAAACCAAAGTAACCGTACAGGACTGAGACAGGACAAAACTTACACTCGCTGACCTCCAGAATCTTGCATTTCATGTAGCATTCAAAAGAATATGCATTAAATATAATCCTTTTACCTCTCACAAGAGGCATAGTGGGGCCTGCATAGAAATGGACCCACTGTTTCAGCATCACATTTATTAACACTGTTTATGGTCTAAAAAGCTCATATTGTATCTATAAAAAAAGATTATCAGTATGGAAGTTATCTTCTTCACTATTCTGTGTAAAGATAGCAATGATTTTCCTTTTAGAATCTCAAATCTAGAGAAACACTAAAGTCTATAATGAGTAGCAAACAAAACTGATTTATTATGTATGGATAGTGTTAGGTGTGGGCGTGTGATGGGAATTCTGCAGTCTTAAGAGGAAATTAAATCCAGAGCGTTTCTGCAAAATTGATTTCTTGTTGTGAGGAGAAATGGTTTATTGATACTCACCTGCCACCATCCATTCTCATGTCCAAGGGGCCGTCCTTCCGAAGGGAAAAACCTCTCTCAGGAGCATCAAGTTGCATGGAGGAACACCCAAGATCCAAAAGAACTCCATCCAAAGTTCCTGGCTGCACTCCAGCTTTCATTAATAAGGCTTCTGCCTGGCTGAACTGGCCTAGCATAGCTCGGATCTGTTTACTGTGAATAAATGCAGGAGATGGAGAAAAGACTTTGTTATATTAAATTCTTAAGGTCTATGATCAATGGAAGGAAGCACAGCCTATTATTAGCTTATTTAACCAATATGTATTTTCTAAGGGCCAGTCACATGCTTGGTACTATACAGAGACATATGGAAATGGAAACTTTACATCCTTGGTTTCAATACCAGAGGTGATTTAATGTAATTTTATTTTTTCTAACAAACACAGTTTATTATATATTTCTGTGAAGGGATACAGTAAGTTCATGAATTTGTAAAATTCCTTTTCCAGACCATTCATATTTCTTTAAAAAAATTCCTTATTCATTTGTACAAAATAAACTTTCCTCTTTTCAAAAAGAAATCTTAAATTTATGGGTCAGGAAAAGAAGTACATATTATTTATCAAAAGAATAAATTTAGAGATAACAAATGCTCGTGAGGATGTGGAGAAAGGGGGACTGTGTACTGTTGCTGGGGATATAAATTTGTACAACTACTATGGAAAACAGTATAGAGCTTCCTCAAAAAATTAAAAATAGAACACTGTATGATCCAGCAATTCTGCTTCTGGAAATATATCTAGAGGAAATGAAAACATTCTGTTGAAGAGGTATCTGCACCCCCATTTTAATAACAACATTACTTATAATAGCCAGGACATGTAAACAACTTTTCATCAACAAATGAATAAAGAAGTTGCGTATATACACATACATACACACATACACACACACCATGGAATATTATCCAGCCATTAAAAAAAAAAAAAAAAAGGAAATCTTGTCATTTGTGATAGCATGGATGGACCTCGAGGGCATTATGCGAAGTGAAATAAGTCAGACAGAGAAAGACAATTATTGTATGATCTCATATGTGAATATTAAAAAGGAAAGAGAAAGAGAGAGAAACCAAACTCATTAAAAAAGAGAGAGAGAGATCAGATTTGTGGATACCAGAGACAGAAGATGGGGTAAAGAGAATTGGATGAAGGTGGTCAGAAGGTATAAACATCCAGATAAGTTAGTTAAATAAATACTAAGGATGTAATATACAACATGACAACTACAGTTAACAATGCTGTATGATATATATAAAGTTGTTAAGAGAGTAAATCCTAAGAGTTCTCATCACAAGGAAAAACATTTTTTTATATATACAATGAGATGATGGATGCTAACTAACTTATTGTGGTAATCATTTCACAATATATATAAGTCAAATCATTACACTTATATAAGTCAAATATATAAACTTATATAGTATGGTACATTAATTACTATCTCAATAAAACTAGAAAAAATAAATTTAATCAGCCAATTTAAGTACAATAAATAATAAACAGGGATCACAGAAAAAAGATATGTCAAACATCTTCAAGCCAAACACTTAAGACTGTTCCATATTTTTACCATAACTTAGGATGGGGTGCTGTGCAGCTGCACACTTGATGCATGAAACTACGCTTAAAATAAATGCCTTCTTGCAGAAACAATGTGTTAGCTTTGAGCAGGCACTTTGAAGTGAATGGAGCATTCAAAATCAATAGGCAAGAAGTTGGAATCACCTTGCAGCTATACTAATTCTCCTTCCTACACAAAGTGAGATGCTGCCTGCAGGGTTCTTCAGAAGCCTTAGGGCAACTGCTATGCATTTTGGATGGGGAATGGGAAAAGAAAAACTGGCAACTCTCCCAAGACCTCATTCCCTCCATCTACAGGTGGGTAGGGTGAATTTGGATTCCAACAGGGGAATTCATATTTATGATGTTATGTTTAAGGAGAACTTCATTGCTCATTGGTAATTTTTTCCCAAACTCTGATGGAGAAACTGATTTTCAGATTCACTCACCAAAAATTCATTGACTATCTCCTATATATCAGACATTATTTTAATTAGCATTGTGTTAATTTTTAATAAAAGATGAATAAAGCATGGCTTTCTGAGCTTTGAACTGAAAGAAATATATAAATGAATAATTTGTGAAACAACCTGATGGGTGCTAATAGTAGAAAGATAAATTGTTATATCTGTATTTGGAAAATATACAACAAATGCTAATACTAAACACTGGGAACACAAATAATAGAATACTGGGATTGGAAAGCAACTCACAATTCACTAATTCCAATTATTTAACTGATTGAATCTTTTCCCTCTCCACCATCACTGCTGGGGTGTGCTGGGGTAGGGGGAGAGTCACTGTTTTAACCACCTCCCATTTTCCCCATCGGTGAGGGAGGAATTCCCATTCTAGGATTATGGAAAACATGGCACTTGGCCACTGGACAGATGAAACTGACAGTTTACTAATCACACATCCTTACAGCTCTTACAGCCCAGGGGAGGAGGGTGTGCAAGGCTACATGTGGGTGGCAGGAACAGAGTGGGCAAGCAGAGGCTATAAGAAGCAGGTTTTATAGTTCAAAAGAACTGTTAACCCTTGGTTCTGATGGGAGAATGTGATATGATTGGCTTGTCTGAGTAATTCCATGGGCAGGGAATTGAAACCTGCTACTCAGGGATAAGCAGATATTTTTACTTATCCCTTTGATAATAAGGGTCCTTTGGCTCAGGAACCTTATCTGTGGGAGCACTGTGCCGGGGGGGGGGGGGGGGGGGGGGGGGGGGTGGAGCTTGTGGTTGGGACAATGGAAGGTCTCTCATTTTTTTCCAGATGTCAAGAATACATAATATTGGGCTTTAATTTTAAGGCCTTACACAAAATTCTCCAGCTCATGTTCAAACATTCCCAATAATCAGAACTCACTACTGTTTTTGAGCTGTTTTTTAGTTGCTAACTATTTCCTCACTATTTCTATATTTCTATATTTTCCCCTTGATATTAGTCCATGTAAAACAACCAAAAACCTACAACCATGGAAGCCTTTCATATATCTACTGTCATTTTAAGTCATTGTAAGGGATATTTGTTGGCCACCTCTTGCTTGCCAATTTCTGTTCCAACAGGACCTGAAAATTTGAGCCATGTCATTTGGGAGAGACTGATTATATCTATAATTGTTTATATGTCAACTTGGCAAGCCTACATTATCTAGTTATTTAATCAAACACTAATCTCGGTGTTGCTGTGCAGGTTATTTTGTAAATGTGGTTAATAATCAGTTTGCTGTAAGTAGGACATTACCTTTAATAATGTGGGTATGCCTCATCCAATAGGTGAAAGGCTTCCCAAGAGCAAAAACTGAGGTTTCCCAGAGGAAGAAGAAATTCAGCCTCAAGACTTCAATATCAGCTCCTGTCAGAGAATTTCTAGCCTGATGGCTTGCCCTAATTCAGACTTGCCAGTACCACAATTGTGTGAGCCAATTCCTTAAAATAAATCCCTTTGTGTATTTATGTATTATATCCCTCAATATCCCTAAGGATTCTCAGGAGAAACAGAACCAGTAAGAGATATACATTATGTGTGTGTGTGTGTGTGTAACTTCTGCTGGTCTGTTTCTAGATAACATACTCATTGTATTTTCAGAAGGTTTATTATAAAGCAATGCATCTAAATTTCAAGAGGGCTTTTAATTTTAATTTTCTTTTTAAATTTAATTTTATTTTTTCAGTCTTCCAAGACTGTTTATGTACCACACCCAGTGCTCCATGCAATACGTGCCCTCCTTAATACCCTTAATACACCAGGCTCACCCATCCTCATACCCCCTTCCACCCTAAAACCCTCAGTTTGTTTCTCAGAGTCCACAGTCTCTCATGGTTCATCTCCCCCTCTGATTTCCTCCAATTCACTTTTCCTTTCCTTCTCCTAATGTCCTCTGTGTTATTCCTTATGTTCCACAAGTAAATGAAACCATATGATATTTGACTTTCTCTACTTGACTTATTTCACTCAGCATAATCTCCTCCAGTGCCGTCCATGTTGATGCAAAAGTTGGGTATTCATCCTTTCTGATGGCTGAGTAATATTCCATTGTATAAATGGACCACATCCTCTTTATCCATTCGTCTGCTGAAGGGCATCTCGGCTCTTTCTACAGTTTGGTGACTGTGGCCATTGCTGCTATGAACATTGGGGTACAGATGGCCCTTCTTTTCACTACATCTGTATCTTTGGGGTAAATACCCAGTATCGCAATTGCAGGGTTATAGGGCAACTCTATTTTTAATTTTTTGAGGAATCTCCACACTGTTTTCCAAAGTGGCTGCACCAACTTGCATTCCCACCAACAGTGTAAGAGGGTTCCCCCTTCTCCACATCCTCTCCAATGTTTGTTGTTTCCTGTCTTGTTAATCTTTGCCATTCTAACTGGTGTAAGGTGGTATCTCAATGTGGTTTTGATTTGAATTTCCCTGATGGCTAATGATGAATATTTTTTCATGTGTCTGTTAGCCATTTGTATGTCTTCTTTGGAGAAATGTCTGTTTCTGCCCATTTCTTGACTGGATTTTTTTGTTTTCTGGGTGTTGAGTTTGATAACTTCTTTATAGATTTTGGATAGTAGCCTTTTATCTGATAAGTCATTTGCAAATATCTTCTCCCATTCCATAGGTTGCTTTTTAGTTGTTTCCTTTGCTGTGAAGCTTTTTATCCTGATGAAGTCCCAATACTTTTTGTTTGCTTTTGTTTTGTTGCCTTTGGAGATATGTCTAGCAAGAAGCTGCTGCCCTTTCAGTCTTTTTCATGGACACAGCTGCTAAGCTTCCTCCATTACTGTATTTGTGCATATTTGTCAGTTGTTGCAGATCTAAGTACAATTTCTGCCCTACACATTTACTACAACCCTTTAAGATCCAGGTGTTATCTTTAACCACAGAAATCTTTGTACTACAGCAAAACCTCACACAAACCACTGTTTTACAGTCTTAATTCCTTGGGTTTTACAGCTATTATCCTGTTTGCTAATATACTTGTAAAATTTAAAAAAATAAATCTTATAAGGAGTTCTTGGGTATCCTCAAACATAACGGTTGAACACACAACATTCATACAGTTTTACACCTATTACTGAATAACTAAAATGTAATC